TCGTGAAGACCCAACATCAACAGATGCAAGAATGAGAGAGAGAGAGAGAGGGAGAGAGAAAGAGAGAGAGAGAGAGAGGGAGAGAGAGAGAGAGAGACAGAGAGACAGAGACAGAGGGAGGAAGAGACAGAGAGAGAAAGAGAAAGAGAGAGAGAGAGAGAGAGAGAGGAAAACAATCTTGCCTTAACATTATTATGTTTTTTTAAGTCAAGCTAGATTCAGTTACACGATAATTATGCGTTGACCATAGTGTGGACACTTCCTCACTTTAATCCAGTGTTGTCGACCCCCGGCTCCGGGACCCCGGCGGGGGTCCGGGGTTCCGGGGGTCGGCACCCGGGACCCCGGCCCCAATAAGGAGAAAAAAATAAATAAAAAAAAATAGAGGGGGGTGCGCACCGCTGGCGTGTAGCCCCTGGCATTTTCTGTCTGGTGCAGAAAATACCCCGGCATGGGGTCCCCCCCGGGGGCGCTAACCCCCCTTGGCGGGTGCGGGGTTGCCCCAGCGCGGGGGCAGGGACGGGCTGGCGGCCCGCGGTGCCGGGGTTGCGGAGCCGGTGGTGCGGTGGCGGGGGTGGGATGCGGGCCCGCGGGGCTGCGGGGGGCGGGGGTCGATGGGCAGCGGTGCTGTGGGTGCCGAGGGTGACGAGCGGGGTGCGGCGGCGGGGTCCGGCGGGGGGGCGAGGTCGGGCCGGGGGTCGGGGGCGGGGTCGAACGGCGGGGGTCGGCCCGGTGGCGGGGTGCGGGGTCCGGGGCGGTTTGCGGGGTGCGGCGCCGGGGTGACGGGGCCGGGGTGATGGGGCCGGTGGTCGGGGCCGGTGCTCGGGGCCGGGGGGCGGTGGGCGGGGGTCGGGGACGGGGGTCGGGGACGGGGGTCGGTGCCGGGGTGTCGGGCCCGGGTGGGCTTTACTACGCAGGGGCCTGGACCCATTGGCGAAGTTCGCAGCCAGGAGGCTGCGCTATACCCGGTTGCATTTTTCGCAGAAGCGGATTTTCCCGTCGGGAAATGTCAACGACCTGTTTAGGGGCTTAGAACGGCGTAGAGGGGCGACCGCGCAAGGATACGGTCGTTGTCATAATACCGACCGGTCGCGGCGGCGGTTGCCCTTGTGCTTGGAGTTGGGGCGACCGCGCCTGCATTTTTTGTTGGTGGACGCCGGACGACGCCAATTTTTTTTTTCGGGCTATTTGGTCTTTTTTTCGTTTTTCTTTTTTCGTTTTTTCCTCTTTTCTGCACTGCTGCTGTCAACGTTCCGCGGCTGTAGACGTCTATTGCGCACACATGTGAACGCCTGAGAGTTGGGGCGAGATCCCACTATCAAAGAGGGTTGTAGACTTGTAGTAAGTATCTGAATGTGGACGTGTTTGTGGACAGATGCGAAAAATTGCCATTGATCTACCTGTATGCACCTCTGCATGGAAACACATCCAGATTCAGACACTTACTAGGGCTCTCTGTTCCCAACCCAGGCCCCCCCACCCTCCAGGCTGCGACTTTGTGCAGAACTGTTGTGAACTTGGTTGTTTCAACTTGTTTGTCAATTATCAATTCTTCGTGAACGGTGTAAGTTCGTGCAACACACACACGCAGACAATAACATGCACGCCCATACATGCAGCACAGACTATACAAGGAGGGACCTCTGTCTGCCCGGCAACACAGAAATAGTACACGATGCACACAAACTAAGTAGATAGCGGAAAATTCCTGAAAGCACTATGCACAACTGTGGAGATAACACTGCGTGTTTAAACCGTGTTTCTCACTCTCTGACAGTACTCTCAAGACTCCCAATAGTGCCAACAAGTGGCGACAACCAATCACTAAAAGATACTTCATCCATGATCCTGCATCTGACCTCTGCCTGCCCGGCTATAGGCTCTCATGCTATGGGCTTAGGCCAAGGGTCTCCCGTCCTAGTGGTAGCCCGGGCCGAGGTCGACAGTCTTTCTCTCTCTCTCTCTCTCTCTCTCTCTCTCTCTCTCTCTCTCTCTCTCTCTCTCTCT